TTTTTTCCTCCTTAAACTATGAATGATTTCTTGGGTTATAATGACGTTGTCAACAGTTTGTCTACCCGGGATGAAGTTGCATTAGTTGGGGCTGATAAGTTTCTCCAGGAAAGGTCTTATTCTACCCACTAGCATTTTAGTCAAAATTTTATAGAGAACATTACACAGATTGATGGGTTTGAATTGGGTGACTTGTGTAGGATTGTCAATTTTTGGTATAAGGGTCACCCAGGTTTTATTAAGGTCATATGGGTATTTTCTATTCACAACCATATCCTTGATAAGGTTGCAAACAGAGTGACCAACAATGTCTCAGTACTTTTGAAAAAATAGGGCTTGAAGACCATCCGGACCTAGAGCTTTCATAGGTTTCATGCTAAAAACAACATTTTTAATTTCGTTATTTAACATAGGGGCTTCAAGAGCTTCTTTAACCTCGTTACTCAGCTTGCTTTGGAACCTGAAAGTCCTCTGGGGGTAGAGGCCAGAGGTTTCATTCCCAAACAGATTAAAGAAAAACTCCTGGACAGCCTTGACAATCTCCTCCTCATTTGTTACCCAGTCCCCTTCCATATTCTTGGCTGCCTGTGGTCTATTTTTCTTCCTTCTAGTGATGGTGGAAACATGAAAAAGTTAGTGTTTTCTATCCCCACAAGTAATCCATTTCGATCTGGATTTTTTATACCATAAAATTTCTTCCTGTTCCAGAATTTGGTTATACTTATGTTGTAGTTTCTCCTCTAATCTAGTCAAGTTATGTGAGTAATGTGAATCTTGGGCTTTCTGAATCCCCTCTAATCTTGCTAATATACGTCTTTTTCTTCTAAACAGGTTACCAAAGGAGATTTTATTCCATTCAGTAGCAATAGTCCCAAAATTAGCAGAGGCTTTTAAAAGGAGAAGTTGACTCTGTCTTTGAATTTTCTAATTTTGGTTGTATTGTTCACTTGTCTCCCCCTACTTTCTAAATGGCTAGAAAAATTATTAAATTTCCCAGCTACCATCCGTGAATTATTATAGTTGTCTCCTGTGCAGCTAAGTTCATCCCACAGTTGATCTCTACTGGTAGAGTTGGGATTCCCATAGACAACAGAAAAGAGTCATTCATCAAAATCCATTCTTGCTATAGTGGCGCGAATGACTTGCTTAGACACGCCCTTTGTGTTGATGGAAATAGTTGAGGGATCCCAGATAAGCCAGATACCCCTAGCCCTTCTTTCCGGTTCCATGACCTCAGAGGCAGTAAGACCATACTGGTCAAAGAAGTTCCCCATCTGAATCCACATTATCTTTAACATATATAGGGAATCTCCCATTTAGATTCAAAAGATTTAAGTTTTTTTTTATTTTATATTCTTAAATATTAGATTTTTTAATATTAGATTTTTAATGTATTGAAAGTATTACAATGTAATATTTTCGTTAATTATTCCATCAAAACTCACTCCATTAAAATTAACGAAATGCGTAATAAAAACTAACAAAAAGTCTCATCGTAACACTTTTATTATATTAAGGGTTCAATATAAAAAAAAATATAATTTTTCAGGGTTTTAGCAAAAAAGATTAGGGAGGATTATATTTAGACCTTGTAATTCCCCAGATTTTTTACTTAATTACTCAAATCTCCTGACATTTGAAATATTACACATAAACTCTCTAAAATTTGTATGCGAATAACACTTAGACCCCCTACCATCAAATGTCTATTAGTATATATGTTAGTAAATTATACTCAGACCCCTAAAGTTAGTAAGTGTATTATATTTAGACCCCTCAAGTGTAAAATGTTATATTTAGACCAAAAATACTTTAATCAAATATAGAATATCAAATATTTTAAATTTTAAAACAAAAATTCATGTTCTATTGTATCATTTACTAAAATAAAATTAAAAATAAAAAAGCTAATTTTTCTTTAAAAAATTGTAATTAGTATACAATTATACTATTTATTGGAATAAAACTAAAATATCAATTAAGGAGTCTAAGTCATTCATAATAGAACATGAATTTTACAATCAAAATTCATATTCTATTATGTCATTTATTAAAATAAAATCAAAAATAAACATCTAATTTTTTTAAAAAAATCATAATTAGTATATAATTATAATATCTATTGGAATAAAACTAAAAATTAAGTAAATTGTCAAATTTTAATGGACACAATATATTCTAACTTTAATTGGGGTAAGTTCGTAGTTTAATTTGGTTGTTTAAATGAGAGAGGTATAGTCCTAACATATATATGTATATAGATAGATATGAAAGAAAAAAATTTTTAACGTTAGTCAAACTCCAAAAATTTAGGAGTTTTAATTTTTAATTTTACTTCACTTAAATGATAGTTTTGTCAAATTGACAAAAAACGGACTTCATAACAAATAAATTTCATTGACGGATTTAAGTCCAAATAAGTCCATATATGAGGATTGACCTCTAAATTTCCTAAAAAATAATTTGGATAGCTCTTGACCAAATTATTATCTTAATTTTAATCAAAAAGCTACTCAAATTACACAGTTTTGATCTTATCTAAATTTTAGTCAAGAACTACCTATATTACACATTTTTTTTGTCAAAAATTATTCGAATTTGGTCGAGAGCTACCCAAACTATTTTTTGTTCATATTTATATATCAAGCGACAAGTTTATGATAAAAAATCGTTAGTAATTTAGATGTTGTCTATTTAATCATATAAATATATTCAATACTTCATAGACCAAAATAATGCAATTGAAATATTATAGACTAAAATAAGATAAACTCTATATCTTGGAGACCTCTAGTGCAATTAACTCAAAAAAATAATGTAGTTTGGATTAAAATTCCAAATCCAAATCCAAATCCAATTTGATTGGAAGACAATGAAATAGATAATTAGAAAGATCCACCGATTGGAGTGGTCCAGTGGAGTACAGACTGAACTTCTCACCTTAAGATTGGAAGCTTGAGTCTTGGAGTCCACATTGGAGCTTGGTAATTAACTGCTATGTTAGCATAGTTAGGTTCATTCTCTAGAAGAATAACTGGCATGGTCAAAGACCTCATGGTCTCAACAATGAGAGTCTATTGAGATGGTCTCTAGGCACTCTTCTTTACTCTTACCCCTTTTTTTAACCAGCAAAAAAAAAAAAAATTAGAAAGATATTGTTTGGACTTTTTATCAACCGTCAAATGGAGCTTATTCTATCCACAACATAAATGACTCCTTCCGATAACAAAAAAAAAATGATGGTTATATTCTAGACATCATTAATTGCCTCCTTTTTTTTTGGGTGATGCTTAAAGACTAGATATCTCCCCTTTAACAACTCCAATAATAGTATTTAGTAACATTATTTATAATGAAGTAGCATGCTCACACAGGGTGGTCCAACCCAAAATTGGCCCAAGGCAAAAATATTGTATAAGATCCTATTAATATTTATTTAGTAAATAGTAATTAAATAGTTATCAAAATATTAAAATACATTTATTGAAAAATAAGTTGTTTTGCCTTTTGAGATACAACATACTAAGTAAAATTTTAAATTCAATTTTTACAAAAAAAAAAATTTAACTGAAATCAAATTCAGAGATAAAATGCAATGATACATTTTATTTGTTTAAGATAAAGAGAAACATAATTGAAAATTAGTTTAACTAATAAATTTTTTTAGAATGAATATAAAAATAAGAATTTATAGAAGTTGAGTAGTTTTAAAATAAATGAGACATTGCTTGATATTGCAGAGAAACAAGGCTATGTTCAAATAAAAAAATTTAGTAAGACAACTATGGTTAATTAATTTTAGATTAGTATACTACTTTTACTCATTCTATTAAAAACTAATTTAAAAAATATAAAATTAGGTTAATATTCTCCTTTTAATTACCCTTTCGAATATTCAATTTTTGAATTAATTGCAGTTGAAGTTTTGGTGCTTCTCTCCCTAAATTCTCCCTCTTCCTAGATTTTGTCAGTTCGATGGGGTTGCATTTCAATATTCAATTAAAAGAGTTCGTTCCAACATTCAATTAAAATAATCAAAACATTCGAAACATTTTTGTTTTTAATAAGACTGAAATGAATCAGTGATAGAATTAAATTTCTGATATTTCAAAGAGTTTTATAAATGATTGAAGATATTTTGTAATATATTTCAATATATTTTTATAATAGTTTTGGACTGTTTCAATGCATATTAAAATGTTTTAGTATATTTTAATTAATACTTTAAAAAAATAAATTTAAATTTTTTTTGATTTTATTTTCAAAACTGGTCAAAATATTTTTGTTTGTTAATTTATGAAAAGTATTTTGATCCGATAGAGTTCAACGAGAGAGACTGAGAGATTTGTCTTAAATGCGATTTTTTCCATACTTAAAAAAGGAGGGGAGATAATGTAAAACATCCGACGACCGTTAGTCTCTTATCGATGATATCATGAGTTCTTAATTGTCCCTTAAACATCTCTTAGAACCAAATTTAATTAAACTAGTCAATCACCAAACTCTAACTAAGACTCATGTTTGGTAAAGAAAAAAAATAGGAACGATGAAAAAATAGATAAATTTAATTTTATTCTAATTCACTAAAATTAATTTTTTTCAAAATTAAAAGAAAAGTGGATGAAAAATTAAGTATTTGTGTTGAGATGTATCTTATTTATCTATATATTTTTTTACATAGACAAATTAATCCATCCAACTAAATATAAAAAAATAAAAATATATTTTTGCTATTTTTTATCCTTAAAAAATAAAAAATGCATCTTCCTACTTTCCGCTGCCTACCGACGGCAGTATAATCGACAAATTTTCAACTTCTGACCGAAGAATAAAGTCGGTACCACTGCAAGACTACCCTACTCCGTGATTGTCTTAAACGCAGTTGACCGAGACCTAATGACTTGTCCAAGGGCTGTTCATATTTTCCAAATTTTCGGAGTCTTTTCCGGTTGCTCAAAGCGTAGTTCAAATTTTCCGCTTGAGAAGACATCCTCGCAACCATGGCCGAAACATTTCTCTTCAACCTGACTGAGAGAGTTTTATCTAAAGCTAGTTCCCTCGCTTTGGACGAGATCAATTTGGCTTTGGATGTCAAAACAGAGCTGAAGAAACTCGAGAACACTTTGTCCATGATCAAAGCCGTACTTCTCGATGCGGATGAGCAGCAATCGAAGAACCATGAGGTGAGAGATTGGCTAGAGAAGCTTAAAGATGTCGTCTGTGATGTTGATGACTTGTTTGATGATTTTTCAACCGAAGTTTTGAGGCGAAGAGTTGAGGTTCATGGTTGCCGAAGCATGCTTAAAAAGGTTAGCAAGTTCTTTTCACCTTCAAACCCAATTGCACTTCGATTCAAAGTTGGTAATAAGGTAAAAGATATCAGGAAAAGATTGGATGAAATTACATGTGATCGGAAGAATTTTCAATTTTCGGAGCAAGCGCTCAAGACCAAAGTTGAAAACAACGTTAGGGAGCAAACCCATTCATTTGTTCGAGCATCAGAAATTATTGGAAGAGACAACGATAAAGATATCATTGTAGAGCTTTTACTCAGCCATGGTTATCAAGAAAATGTTTCTGTTATTCCCATTGTTGGGCTTGGAGGTCTTGGGAAGACCACCCTTGTAAAATTGGTCTATAACCATGACCGGATAATTCAAAATTTTGAACTAAGAATGTGGGTGTGTGTCTCAGAAGATTTTGGTCTAAATAAGGTGATTGAGAAAATTATAAAATCTGCAACAGGTGAGAGTTTTAGCCACCTGGATGTGGATCAGATGCAAAGTCGCTTGCGTGATGTTTTGAAAGCAAAAAAGTTTTTAATTGTCTTGGATGATGTGTGGAACGAAGATCGGAACAAGTGGACAGATTTGAGAGATTTGTTAATCAGTGGTAGCATTGGAAGTAAAATTGTTGTTACTACACGCAGTAAAATGGTTGCAACAATAACGGGCACGGTTGTGCCATACAATTTGAGTGGTCTTGAGTATAACGACTGTTTATCTTTATTTTTGAAATGTGCATTTAGAGGAGAGGAAGATTGGCTTCCTAATCTTGTGGAAATTGGAAAAGAAATTGTGAAGAAATGTGGTGGGGTTCCTTTGGCAGTCAAGACCTTGGGAAGCTTGTTATATATGAAAACAGATGAGCATGAATGGTTTTACATTCGGGATAATGAAATATGGGAGATTGAACAAAAACAGTGTGACATTATACCAATATTGAGGTTGACCTATGAGCAGATGCCATCCTGTTTAAGGCAATGCTTTGCATATTGCTGTATGTTGCCTAAAGGTTATGAACTTCCAAGGGAGGTGTTAATCAACCTCTGGATTGCACAAGGTTTCATACAATCAACCAATGGAAACCGACTGTTGGATGATATTGGGAATCAGTATTTCAATGAGTTACTGTCAAGGTTTTGCTTTCAAGATGTTGTTGAAGCTTTTGATGGTGAAATATTGGCCTGTAAGGTTCATAACCTTGTACATGATCTTGCACAGTCAGTTGCAGGTGTGGAATGTCTAAATTTTAAATTTGATACCAACGTGATTTCTGAAAGAGTTCGTCACCTATCGTTTCATGCAGAAGGTTTTTCCGAGAAAGAATTTCCTGCAGCCTTATTCAAAGTCAAAAAAATGAGGTCCTTTTTTAATTCATTCAAAGTTGGATCTGTAAATAAAACCTTTATCAAGACCATCACTTTGAATTTCAGATGCTTGCGTGTCTTAGTATTGAACTCGTTAGAGCTTGAGGAGTTGCCAAGATCCATTGGTAACTTAAGGCAGTTAAGATATCTTAACCTCAGTCACAGTGGCAATCTTAAATATCTTCCTAACTCAATTTGCAAGCTTGTGAATCTGCAAACCTTGAACCTCATCAACTGTGAGCAACTCCAACAGTTGCCTAGAGACACATGGAAGTTGGTTAGCCTCAAAACTTTATATTTGTCTTCAAGGCAAATATGTTTGCCAAAGAAAGGTTGTCAAAGCCCGAGTTCTCTTCAGTATTTATTACTTTACAAATGCAGCCGCCTGGAATTATTGTCCGAAGGATTGCAACACTTCACTGCTCTTCGAGTATTGCGTATATATGAATGTCCACAGTTAGCTTCTCTTCCAATCAGTATAAAGTTCCTAACTTCTCTTGAGAAATTGTGGATTTGGAATTGTGAAGAACTTAATCTGCTGGAGGGGAAGGGTATGGAAGGCCTAGCAAGCCTTCGATCACTGCTTCTGATTGGACTCCCAAAATTAGTGACTCTGCCTGAGGGACTTAAAGAAACTGCTACAACTAATCTGCAGCATTTACGTATTGCTGATTGTGCAAATTTATCAACATTGCCCGAGTGGCTGCAAAATTGCACCTCACTTCTGAGGCTGTACATTGAGGATTGTCCTAATTTATTGTCTCTTCCGGAAGGAGTGCGCTCCCTCACTGCAAAGGTGCACATTAGTGACTGTCCGCAATTGAGTGGAGGATGCTGAAAACCCAGGTATAGGATTTGCCAAAGTTCGGCCATCTCTGGAGATTGTATTTTTGGATTAACATGAATATTTTGACAAGGGAGAGAGTCTGTCACTTCAGTCTCATTCACTGTGATGCTTACATCTGGTATGTTATTTTTGTTCTGTTCAATAATTCTCTTTGCTTGTTTCTTTTGGTAGTTTTACGAATTTCAATAATTTCAAGGGGGCACTAAACAAGGTGGCTTTGGAGTTAAACACTTTCGAGTTTAAAAGCAGCTTTTGATGAATACACACAGAATGATGGATACTGTTGACATCAAGTTCTGGTCTTCCTCAATATGCAGTTCCATCCAAGGATCAAAATATCGTTTCGAAACGGTCGAAACATCCGAAACGTTTCCGTTTCCAAGGAGACCGAAACGAATCAGTGATGAAATAGAAATTCTAATATTTCGAGGTATTCCATAATGTTTTGTTATATTTCAATGCATTAGTACAATTATTTTAGAATGTTTCAAGGTATTTCAAAATATTTTGGTATATTTCGACTAATGTTTTGAAGAAATAATTTTTAAATTTTTTATTTTTTTTTATTTTGTTTTCAAAACGTTTTTGAAACATGTCTAAACGTTTCCGTTTCTTAGGTGACCAAAATAATGCACCGAAATGAAATTTTGATCCTTGATTCCATCTTGTCCAATCAGCAGCTTTACTGCTTTTGCACTAGATGCTAATTTGCTTAACCTGCTGATTCCTTAACAATGTAATTGTTGTGGAGAAAATTACCTCTGTGCTAATGAAGTTTTCATTTTTCTAGGTGCTTTAATACTACTTTCACACTAGATGCTCACTTCCTTATTCATGCTGACTCCTTAGCCACGTAATAGTTACATAAAGACAACTATCACTATGAGAATGAATAGCTCTTGATATTTCTACTTCTACGAGTATTAATACATTTTTGCAACAACCATGTTGAATTTCTCTTCTGCAGCATTGGTATGGCCGTGGTGAGGTTGAAATTATTTGGAAGTCCTCGCGAATTAAAATGTTTTTCAATTATAAGGGTCATACTAGATGCCATTCCCGTGGCAGTGGAAAGGGTGCTGCTTCTCTACAGAGAGTTGCTATGACATTCGCATCAACTGGTATGTTGTTTACTATTCTGATATCTCACTTAATTGAAGGTGATTGTTCCCCTAATAAGTTAAATCCACTTTGCTCATGTTAGTAAATAGTCATCAAGACCATACTAAACAGTTGTAGGGTTTGCTTAAGCATGGTCATTAATAAATCCTTGATTTGTTGCATGGATTGGTGAGAAGCTGCAAGCTGAGGTTGAAAATGGAGGACAAGGGTTTAAAAAGCTGCCAGGTTGCAGTTGGATTGTAATGGGAATAGGTTCATGTTTTTGTAGTTCGTGATAAATCTCAATGTGAAATTGAATTCGTCTTTTTCATTACTTTGCAATCTTCATGTTTAAATGAAGAAGTCTGGTAAAATGATGATTTTGCAGTGGAAGAGGATTTTTTGGTAACTTAGGTTATTGACCATGAGCACGATCATTTTAGGTGAATGCTTACCAGCTGGTTTATTCATTGTTATCATGAACTAAAAGCTGCATGCTTGCTTATGATAAGTAATTGTCATGTCCTGTCATAAGTGAAAGATAAAATAGGGGAGTACTACTTTAGGTTCACTAATGTAGTTATGTAATCTTCACATTCTCTGCATGGCACACAAACAGCATCATACCAATGTGGGCACACAGTGGATCACTCAAATTAAGTGGAGGGACTGTGTCATCTTTTCACGGAAAGAGCAGAGGTGTCACAATAATTTCTTTTGCCTCTTAAGTGTACGTGCAGAGCAAGTCTAATGTGATGACCTTATTTATTTGCGGAAGATTATTAAAGGATAATAGGCATATCAACTTTATAAAGATGTGTATATTGCAAGTTTTTCACATTCACCAGTCATGATGGCCATATAAGCCCTGCTTTATCAGTTCTTCTTAAGACTAGCTGTGCTTTACATCCTATTTGTTTCAGATTTAACTTTGAATGGCTATAGAATCCGTCTGGCTCCTTGTCATAAATGAGTCAGGATCTTGCTTTGGGACCAACTACATGCTCATAATTTTGGCCCCAAAAAAACTGCACGATGAGAATCTAACAGATAAGATTCCATCTCATGCACGCCACATGTGCACTTAATGCGGCCTTCGCCACTTGGTTCACATTTTCTGGTAGTGATGGTCAAATCTTTGCCACTTCATTCACAGTATGCGGCAGTTTTGAGCATTCCTAGTTGATATTCTGATCCAAGTGAAACTATTCACAGAAGGTCGCCAAAAGATCTGTGGATGTTTGAAATTTCATTTGTATCTCTGCTTCTGATTTAAACGTTTGAAACTCACTGATGATTTTCCTGAGCAAAAAAACAGCTCAAATTGGATAATGACCAATGATAACAAATTTTTTTTTTTTTTAAACCAGAGATAAGGGAGTTATGAGGTGAGACACTGGTCAAAAAGGTTTAAAGACAGTTCATCTTGCAAATGACATGCTTGTTGACACTGCAAGTGAAGGTTTCCAGAAGCAATGTAAACGCCTTCTTTCCATATTCTCAAACCACGGAAATTTAGTGTTTCATGCATCATAAATTACCCGAATTAGGATACAGTGCACAAAACTGTAGTACATTGTCGAGACTGCACTGTCAAAGAGTATTCTAAGTTATGTGAGTAAATTTTATTGAAATTTTCATTACACCTGTGGCAATGAGGATGTCTTTTTCCGACCATGGTTGGTTGGGATTGGATTTGGATGTGCCAAAAGGCCTCTTGGTCATTTGTTTCAAGAAAACTTGTATCCCAGATCGAAAGATTAGGAGTCACCATGGGTAGTTTATACGGTTGATGGGTCTCTCCACCCATTGACAATTGCTTTTCATTCAGACGCCTCTTTACACAATTTGCTTATAAGGATTGCATGTGCACTGAGGTTTTTAACAGTAAAACTAACAGAAAACCACTGAAAAATTCAGGTTTTGCATATGATGGCATCTTCTTATTGGATCTGCTGTTATGTCACATTATCTTTAAAGCCTTTTTCTGATAATAACTGGGTAACTTTCTGAAGTTCTATTCTTTATTGAGACATCCTATACTTGTACAACCAAAATTACCAAATGAGTTTTTGGTGAGATGGTTTCAAGAGATATTGAAACTTGTGTAGAATTTTAATTTCGCCATACGAATTTTGGAATAAACTAGGGATATTTCTTCAAACATTGAATTATGACGAATTGTTTCTCTCACAATTGCTTCCACAAAAAGAAGTTTTTCAAAATTAAAATTGAAAATTGCCTTCAGCTGTTTTAGCCACCGTCAGAACTTTCTTCTATAATATCTACGAACTAGAAAATTAGATACAATGCCAAAATGTATGTTTATATTATATTCATATACGTAAAGATTAGCATATACATATAGAGAGAGAAAGAGATTTCAAAATGTGATTATCCATTGATGAAGTGGTCGAAATATTTCTCCATCGTAGTTCTTTGGTAAAATAGGATGTATTTCTAAATAAGTTTAAGTAATAGACTTAACTCATTAAAAGATCTATAAGGAGGATTTAACCCTAATTTTCACTTTTTATTTAGACTAACCTCTTGGACCGGCCTTTGTACATAATTGGTTTGTATGGAAATAGACGTACAATTTTTCTTTAGAGCACACTCCAAAGAAGTAGATAAGTTGCTGAGATTTCCCCATTTTCAGCCACATTTCACAGATATTCAATTATTGAATTTTATTAAACTAACACCTGATTATTCAGTTTCATCAAATTGAACTATTTGTGATGTCTTGGAGACCAACATTTCTCTTAAATAAAAATATATGATGATATTGTAGTGGTCTCATCTTGGTCTATATAGAGAGCTAAAGATAAGTTTGGCAATTCATAAGAAAAATATGCAGTCACATTATATACTTTTTTTGTTTTATCGGTAACGGTAAAAATAGTTAGTGAAATGTATATAAAAACTATATTGGTGTATAGTGATATTTTAAAAATTAAAAAGAATGTTAGTGAAATATAACCTATCATATCAAAAGGGTCGTGCAAAGACAACCCGACCACCAATTTCATTCGGCAGGGCACGGTCGATTCTACAATCTTTTGGATAACAAAAAAGTTATCTTATCTGTTTTGATCAAATAAAAAGCCTAGTCAACCACTAATTTGATGCCAGTCACCTGACCCACAGAACAACCTTCGGTTTTTGAGCGTTCCTAAATAGACAAAAAATAGGGATTGAAACAATTATAAAAGTATTTCAAAGGGAGAGATTAGAGAGACTTTGAGGGTTTTTTCTTTGTGGGAATAGGGAGGCCGGTACATCTATAGAGACTTAATAGGATAAAAGTTTTTTTTTTTAAAACTATTTGGACAAAAAAGTCCATTTGACAACAAAAAAACATAAAACACCTTAAAGATGAGAAAGATGAAGAGTCATTCTAATTTTGGAAACAGAAAAGAAGCGACTATTTGTTCGGTGTCAATTGTCAATAATCCATTAATGTCGGAAATCAAGAAGCTATTAATGCCAAAAATCTTAATTTTTTTGAATTTTAAAAATTTAGGGATTTTAATCTACATCTTCCCAACATTCAATTTATGTGGAGGAGAAAGAAAAAGCTCTTCGACGTTGATTTAGTTTTTTGGTTGTCAAAATCTTTGGGCTTCTTCATCGGAATATTTGGGAAGCTTTATTTCGGTTTCATTGGGTCATCTCCAACGGTAAAAATTTCAATTATTTTAATTTTTTTTCTTCCTTGAATAATACCAAAACATAAAATACTAAGCTCTAATTTGAGTTTGAAATTAATTAGATATGACCAAAGAAGAAATCATTTTTATGGAAGAAGGCGAAACACGTTGACGTTGATTTGGGTTTTTTAGAATCCGTCGTGGAATCTTTAGGAAGCTTTACTTCGGCTTCACGGGGTCATCTTCTACAATAAGAATTCTAACTATTTTAATTTTCTTTTTCTTCAAAAATCCCAAAATAAAAAATATATTATACCCTACTTTGAGTGTGAAATTAATTTCTTTTATAATTCATGAAAAATAAATGTATTCAACATTTTGATGAAAATTTTTAGAAGTTTCACGAACTTTATGTATAGTATTGCAATACGGTGTCTCTCTATTGAGTATTTGGAATTTCAAGTTTTGGAAGAAATTTATTGATTCGTTATTTTAAATATTGTAAAAATGTATTTACTAATTTTTGAATTAAATATATTATGATTATGACTAGTTTTACTCTATGGTGTCACTCTATTATATGACCATTGGTTAGGATCTTCATTCAAACAACAGGTAGCAGTTGACATGTGACCATAGAGAGACGCCTTAGAAAATCTCAACCAGTGATCTTGTGACTATAGAGTGATCATGTGACCATTGCTTGTCCAAAAAAAAATGAAAAGAAAAAATTACTCATGACCATAGAGTGACATTATAAAGTGACAAGCTAATATCTTGACTTGGGCATCACAAACTACATCAAAAATATATTGTATCCATGTAAATAAATTATGGATTGACAGCATGCATTAGGACATCAACAATTAGAAATCTAATTAAAATTTTAATAATTGTAATAGAATGACACCATACAGTAAGTACTATTGTTTTGCCCACAACAAAATACATAAAAAAAAAAATGATTATGGTTGTCTTCACTCTATGGTGTCACTCTATTATACGACCATGGATTAGTCACTTCATTCTATAATATGCAAAAGTGAACTTTTGACTATAGATAGACTCCATAATGTGACAACCAAATTTTGTCTTTTTCAATAAATAATATACCAAAATCAAACTTTTGTCCAAACTTGTGACACCTCATAGTGATTGCCTCCAATCCTTGGCTTGTATCTATAGAGTGACAACCTAAATAGTGACTTGACCTACATAACAAATTACTTGTTTTCATAAAGAGACTATCAATTTATTGGCTTGTTCACTACAGAATACAAATGAACATTATACTATTCTTTTATTAAAAAATACTATATTATTTTTTTGTGATTTGTGTGGATTCTTTATTATACAAATAATGATATTAACTGAACATCTAATGTAGGGTCGATTATAGTCTCTTTGTTTGCTACATAATAAGGAAGTTACACTTGGTAAACACATGGAAGAAAAGTTGGAAGCAGTATAAGTGAAAGTTTTTCAAACAGAAATGATGAGAATTTTTCTGAACCATCACAAATGTTGGACTGAAGACGATGTCACTGAACGGAAAAAATTAAAGACAATGATTTAAAATTTATTGCATATATCCGAACTTTTTATTAAAATTTTTTGAAATGTAATTTAAGGTATTGTTCTTGGGTTTGAACTACAATTTAATTTTGAAACAGTTGTAACTCCTTGGTGTCAATTTTAATATTCACACTAAGTATCAAATCTATGTATTCAATGAATTTTTTTTTTTTTATAATTGCATTAATTCTAATGTCACTAATTGAAGTCACAATATATTGTCACTCTTTATTCATCACTCTTTGTTTGAAATATGTTATACATGATGTCACTAGAAGTTGTCACACTAGTATGTTACTTTGTTGACACTCTTTTTGAGAATTGTGATGTACAAAATATCACTATATGCAACCACATTTTGATGCCACTCTTTAGTATCTCTCTTTGTTGTTATTCTTTAATATCAAACTCAATAATAATGGAATATTAATTTCATTTAAATTTTCAAATTTTAAACTATAGATAATGACCAAAGAATATTGAAAGTCTCAAATTGATATTTAGATATTTGAAAACATAAAAATTAGAAAGAGAGAGAGAGAAAATAGGGAGTGCGAGAGAGAGATAATAATGTAATATTAATTTCATTTAAATTTTTAAATGAAATATAGTATACTTTACCATTGATTTTTTATTTGTTTGATTGATATGAATTTTTTTTTCTGGTTACAGTTTCTTGAATTTAAGGCGCAATGCTTAATATCCAAAAGCATTTTATGTTGGTGCAGCAATGATTTTTGTTATTTTCTTTTCACTTAATTTTGGTCAGTAGTTGCCTAAATGATTTTGTTCTTATTTTGAAGGTTTCTGAAGGGAGCTTCAAGCATTGATCAACATTTCTATTCGACACCATTTGAGAAAAACATACTGTATGTCCAAATGGCATGATCTTTTCTTGGCTTTGTTATTTTTAATAACTTTTTTTCTAGATACCCTAGATGTCAGTTAGATATTTAGATGACTTATTTTACTATTTATTGGCATTGCTTCAGGTGCTCCTGGGTTTGTTGATCATATGGAATGTTTCGTTTCTTGGTTACCTTGCAAGAGTGAGTAAGATGCTACATTTAATTTCGTCGTTTGTTGATTTTCTGATAATGTCTTCTTACTACTCACCCCATGACCTGGAAGCTTCAAATTTTTGCAGGTCATTTTACCTTACTCTCGAGCCCTAGAAAAGTTTGCCCCACATATTCAACAGGTTTGCTTAACATAGCTTTCTGCTTGAATATTATTTTGGAATCTTTATCATAATACCGTTAAGACCTTCCAAATTTAACCCAATTTAGGTTAGCATGGAGAGTAATGGGAAAGGAGTATCGATTGACGGTCTGCCTCTTCCCTATGAGGCTGGTGAGATTGATGTTGGTGAACCAGGAACAAATGGTCAGCATAGCTTTTACCAATTGATTCACCAAGTAACACATAAGTACATAGAATATGCTAATTTAGCTTGAATGCGAAACGCTTTCTTAAATTCCTTACTCCCATATTGATTAACTGTGAGTATGTGCTCCTATCATTTCATTCCTTGCGTGGTTAATTTGTTGACATTGTGTATGAAATAGATTTTTTTTTTTATGGATGGAGAAATCAAGCTTATTCTTTCTTATCATAGGTTCCAAATGTCTCAGTTAACTGTTTTCTTTTTGCCAAATATTTTATCACATAAGAATTATTTCTTTTCATTGGTTCTAGAGCTTAAACTAACAATAGAGAATTATATTTGTTTGTCGCTAAGTAGGGTATTCATCTAATTTTTTTTTAAACTTGCTTAAACTATGTGATACTTTCTCTTTCTATGAAATTGTGTTACCTGTTTTGTGTTAAGTAGTTTCAGTGGATTGGAGGCTTAGATAACTTCTTGAATAATGAATGATGACATCTAGATGCCTATTTGTGGATTGGAGGCTTAGATGCCTATTTGTTTTGTTCTCATAGTTGTCCATGGTTTGCTACTATCTTGCTTTGGTTTTAATCTTTTGTGTTGAATTTTGTTGTGATCTTATGGGCATTTGTTGCAGTGGTTATAGGTGATGATGGTTTTGGAAAGATCACGTAAGTGACTTTTAGTTCTTTTTTTTTCTTTTCCTATTTGTATAGTTGTGTAATTTAGAGTATTCCTGATTTAATATAATTTTGGTTTTGAATTTAAGTGGTCAAAGTATTGGTTGATGACAACTGTTGACGGCTGCCCATCTAATACCCCAAGTAACTCACTGAATGGAATAAAATTTTGAATTCTTTGGTTTATGTTCAATTGATCTTCCAAGAAACGAAGAATGCTTACCGAAAGAAAAGATATGAAGAATATGGTAGTTAAGCAAAGTATGTGTGATCAAGCTGTTTTTTCTCCCTCAGTTTGTGTTATGTTTAATTCATAGGAATGGAATTTTGCGTTATGTTTTCCAATGTTTTATTTATTACCAAACGATGAGTTACCGTTACATTTCTATACCATTTGTTTGACGATGACTGAATATGTTTTTTGTTGGATAATTGGGATGTAGGGAATTTAATTCGCTGTGTTTGAGCTTATGTTTTGTGCTTTGGTAAAGAGTTGAAGTAGTTGACTCTTGATTGATTTTTTTTACTAAGCCAAAAAGTTTCATTAATTGTACTTCGTTCAAGTATTGATAAAAATATTAGAGTAAATATCATAATTTGTCCCTAAATTTTGTCACAAATTTCAATTTGGTCCTTGAACTTTCAAATCTCTCAATTTAGTTCCTCAATTATCAATTGTCTTAATTAAGTTATTTCGTCCATTTCCACCATTAAATAAAAAACATACGATTTGACTCTTACTTAATTATTTTGCATTCAAATTCAATTTTTGATTTTTTTTAGTTGTATCATGTTTTCAGGCACGAGTTATCCCTAATATGTTAAAATTTTAAATAGCAAGTCACCTACTTATCACTTAATGTCGAAAATATTATTCAATAAGAATTTTATAAATTCCTCATAATTGATAAATATAATCTCAATACATTTTACACTCTTAATTTTTCAATACCCATTATCCACCTTCATTACAATTATGACGTCGCCGCCACCACCACCACAATTACAATTATGACGTCACCACCACCACCACCACAATTACCACCATTGTGCTACCACCGTCTCCACCACCATTGTGTTGTCGTCGCCACTATTGTGTAGCCGCAACTACCACCACTGGTTAGGTGGTTGTGGTTGTAGAAATAAGGTAGTTATGGTGAAAATAATAATTTTCAAACTTGTAAATTAAAAAATTTAACATTCAATACTTGAAATTCAATATTTAGTTTTCAGTATTCAACTTTTAGTTTTATCAAACATCACATAAGTCAATGTTTTAAGATGGATATATATTGATCAAAGACAATATATCCCTTCTATAAAGAATTGAATGGTTGTCCTTGAGTATTTTTCAATAAGTTAATATTCCATAACTCCATAAAACACGGTTAGAGGCAAAAAAGGTAAAATGTACTAACTCGGAAAAAAAGCATATTTTCTACACTTTCTAATAATTAATTTCTTGTGGACTGGTAGAAAAGCATATTTTGTATCAACTGCGAAAATGAGAGATTGAACTAAATATAACTTGTATGCTTTAGAATTAAAGTGATAATTAGAAATTAAAAGATCAAAGTGAGATGGGGTACATGCTTCAATCACCACTCAAAATATTTTACTTTCTTTTTAATATTTAAGCTCAATTATCGAAAATTGAGCAAGGAAAATTGGGTCCAGCCTTGTTGAAGAGATAAAATTTGGTTTTGTTTTCGGCTACTCATACTTTAACTTAATCTAAAAAATTACCAAATTTCTCTTTGTGTGAATATCTTAAAATAGACCTCGTATTAAAGGATTTGTTTCTCACGATCCAACAACTAGAGTGCGATGTTAATCTTTTTATAATTTGATGAAGGATTGAGAAAATTGAAGGATAAATATCATAATTGGTACATAAATCCAGATCACCCCAGAAAATCTGGTACACTCATGAACTGCTGCTTCTAATATAAACATCACATTATTTGTTCAATCTTCATTACAAGATGTGAGCCAGAAACTATAAACGAAATACAACACCATAAAGTATTAGAATCCCACAGCCGAAAACCTTTTACACACATACAATTTATTTAAGGAGAAACATGGCATGTTGGGTGTATAGAAACAAACACCCTTATGTCCATATAATTTATTTGTTTCGACATAATAATGTAGAAGAGACAATGAAACTCACCTGAACTCCCGCTTACTCTTGGTTTGTAGAGCGAGGAAAAACTTGGAAGTAGGTTTTGGTGAAGGTTAAGATAATAAGAAATATTGAGGGAAAAAAGGCCGAAGTAGTCCCGGAGAACTGAAATGATCATGCAGTACTTGAGCCATCCAAGTTTTTGCCTTGCTAGTGGAGTGCTTTTCAATTTGATAACAAACTTCATGAATGATAGCAACGTTGGCATCTAAGACAGCAGAAGCCATAGTGTTGAAGAATTTTGCAACTTCCTCATTGGAATCACAGAAGTTAGAAATTATGTTATGAGATCGCAGCTCAATTACGTCGTCGGCTCCACTAATGAGTAAACTCATGAAATAAATATAAGTGCAAACCACAAATTCAGTATATGTGTCAGGAGCCAATTCATATGCAATCATGTTCAAGAAAACGCAGGTACTATAGGAGGAAGTGTCAACTGTCCATAGCCAAAGAACGAAGTGAAGCTGATGTCTGTTGGACAAAATGTACTGCTAGACTTGAAATGTGTTCCTTTTGCTTTAAGTTCTGCTGCTGAATCGAAGGAGTGACGAGGGAGGACCTTATTATAAGCATTTAGACCTTTCCCACATTCCTTCTCGTCAGGAAGAAATTTTTCTCGCACAAGTTCTAGAAGGTGAAGGGGCGTCTCATCTCGACTTCCCCGTCTCTTATTGGTTGTTTCAAGAGCAAAGGGTAGATCGAAAAAACTGTTAATCATATTTTCTCCTTCATCTTTTTTGTATTTATTGCTCATTAAGGCCTGGATAACTTGGAATGGAAGTTGGTTCTGTTAGGAAATTCACACGAAATTCTCAAACCTGTGAGAAACAACAATAGAGAAAACACATGTCAAAGAAAAACAATCACACCTGTTCTTTTTAAAATAAACTCAACCTAGTTTGAATGAATCCCCAAAGAAGTCATGACCTATTTGATCCTTCAGCCTTCAGCATTGAGTCAAGAAAAAAAATTTACGTGGTTCGGCAATTTGCCTACGTCCACGAAGCTACAGGGGTTTTACTATTTTCAAGAACGATTACAGAGAAGGCGGCAGCCGTATAAAGTCAATCAAATCCTAATCACCTAAAAGAAACAAGTTTAAACAAAATCGGTGGTGCTCTTTCTACTATTAGTGTCTCCAGCCAAGTCGGCATCAACAAAATCATGTAACTCCAAACTATCTTTGGTGTAACACAAGCATGCTTCTGAGGAACCTTTCAAGTACCTCATAATCCACTTCACAGCCTCTCAATGTTGTCTTCCTGGGTTGCTCATGTACCTACTCACAACTCCAATGCATGGGCAATGTCCGGTCTTGTGCAAACCATAGCATACATAAGTGAACCAATAACTGAAGCGTAAGGAACCTTACTCATGTGCTCATGTTCCTCCTCTGTCTTGGGTGACTGATCTTTGTTGAGTATGAAATGACTATCTAATGGTGTGCCAATTGGTTTGGCTTGATCCATGTTGAATCTACTAAGTACTTTTTTCACATACTCGACCTACGACAATATTAACTTGCCCTTGACTTTGTCTCTGATGATTCTCATACCAAAGATTTGTTTTGTAGCTCCCAAATCCTTCATTGCAAACTGTTTTGACAACTATTTCTTTAGATTGTTAATCTCCTCAATGCTAGACCCTGCAATGAGCATATCATCCACATATAACAGTAAAATGATGTAAGAATTGTCAAACCAGTAAGATGGGACCGGTAATTCAGTATTCTTTTATTGGAAACCCTTTCCCTTTTTATGAGTATTTACCATGGTCACTATTCTTTTGAAAACTCTAGTCGTTTCTCACAGACTGCGTGCTGATTTTTGCACAATAGTTGAAACAGGAACAGATCTCTCCCGTGGCGAACTCGAGTTCGTTAAAGTGGTTGATTCAGCAATAAGGAATAGGTTGAGATGGACAAATGGGGCCTAAGGAGTAGTGATGAATTGTTTCTGGTGTTGTAGAACTGATCTTGATGGCTCACAAGGAATTCCTGGAACACAGAAAATAGGTTTGGAAGGCGTCGGAGTGTTTTCTGGCGTATCCCCTCCGACGGTCAAGTTAGTTTTTTGAGAGAGAGGAAGAATAAAACATTGTATGGCTTTTGTAAGGTAATGTTGCGTACCTTTGTAATGTGCTTCTGAGAGTTATTTATACCTTCAAAGGCTAATCATTATTGACAGTCTAGTTAGCAGGTAATCTTCAGAGATAGGACAGTGTGCCCCATACTTCTCATGGGGAATGCTCCCATCTTAATTACTCGCTTTGTTAGGCATTCAATGTTCTTTCTCCAATGTTGAGGAATTGAATGCTCAGCTCCCAGAACGTTTAATGCTTCTCCTGCTTGACTTATCAACCCTTGCCAGGTGTCTTATCAATTGTCAACGCATTAAATGCCTTTCTTAGTTAGCCGATATCATCAGGGGGAGTTCTATCTTTTTAACCACCCATCTCATACTTTATGCCACGTGTCTGACTCTCTTTGGATGAACGTCTAGCCCATCCAATCATACTGACTTTATTATTTAGAGTGTCATCGTAATTGTCTGTCTGGCTTTGTTTCAGTCGTCAGTTGTTGGCTTCCTAATGAACCAATGACTCAGGGATTGATGACATGGTTCCTCGGACCCGAGGGAACTCCTCGGGGCCGATGGAGATACTAGAGTCAATCCGTCGGAGCAGAGGGGACGCTGAGGCCGAGGACACGTAGACTCACTGGACCGAGGCAAAGAATAGCCCTCGGGGCCAAAGACACGTGTCATCACACCAGCACCCTTCTAGGAATTTCTCATCATCTACCATCGCATACCATTTCTTTCAACAAACAACCAACCACCTCATCTTTTTAAGTCTCTCTCTCAATAGTATGTAAGGGTATCAAACGTGTCGGGTTAAACGGGTGTCGGGTGAAAAATATATAAACTCGTACACGACACGTTTAATAAACGGGTAAAAATTTTTTACACGAACATTACCCGTTTAATAAACGGGTAATACGACACGACTCGTTTAACCCGTTTAACTTTTAAAAAAAATTATATTAGCAAATTTTAATACTCCACTTTTTTTATTGTCAATTGCACTTACCTCAAAAAAGAAGAATTTTTAGCAAAATATCATAAAAATAAGACTTGAAAGCTTAAAAAAAAAGGATAAGGTCATTGTTTTTTATAAGCAACTTCACCCTCCCCATTTTTCCTCATTTTTTAATGTGGGACAAAAACAAAAGACATTTGTTTGTCTTTGCATTTGAAATGTTCCTCATCTCCTCTCTTTTGTCTTTGAACTATTACTTTACTTCTTCTTTTTTTATTGATTTTTTTACTTCTTTTTTTCTTGCTAATTTTTTAAAATAATTATTAATTTTATTTAAACGAGTAAACGTGTGATAAACGGTTTAACAGGTCTCACCCGAACACTTTCTGTTTATTAAACGTGTTAGGCGTGTCAATCCGTTTATCACCCAAACCCGTTAAGATCTCACTCAAACTCGCTTAATTCGTGTTGGTTAATCGTGTTGTGTGGAATTTTGACAGCCCTAATGGTACGTATTCTGCAATATATGACCAACGCAACGAAAGACATCATTGTTGATTTTGATTTGATTCTGACTTGGTTTCAATTCAATTTTTAGTCTGGATTTTTGTTCAATTCCAATTTCTATTAATTTCTAGTTTTCATTCTTAATTATCTCAATTCCAAAACTTATCACAAAATAGGTTTTAAATATAATATTTTTTTTTAAATTTAATCTATTTGTTTGAATAGAAATTGTGATGACTGTGCACAATGGGGTGATGTTAATGGGCAGTGGAGTGGAGGTGGAGGTGGTTATTTTGTTGTTTAACTAAAAAGAAGAGGAAGATGCAGAGGAAGACTCTGAGGGGGTAAAAATGTCTTTTTCTATCCCCGGTGTTAACTATTCAATTTGATCCAAAAGTACAAGGGGATTATCTGTTTACTTTGAAATATTAATGGTAAATGTTTACGATTCTTTAAGTAAGTTTTTATCAAAAAAAAAAAAAAAAAAAAGAGCAATATTATTATGTAACCTAAATTTACATCCCAAATTTGTATTTCAAATTAATAATGACCATTGGATCGGTGGTTTTTATTTTAAAAAGTTGATAGAATCCACTCATCCAGTGGTCCATGTTCATTTGAGATGTAAATTTTGGTTAAAAATATATCTTTGCATATGAATGATACAATTAATTGCATGTGCATTTAAGTTACTATACAATGAGACTAAACTTAGAGAAGAGGACAAAAAAACTAAAAAGACCCAAAAAAAAATGCTTAGAATACTTAAAAAAAAAATACTTAAATTAGTATGTGAAATCTAATTGAGGCTATTATTAAGAGTTTTTGGACTCGTAGACATAAGTTTTAATTAATAACCTGAACACCCCTTTTATTCCAACACAAAAGAAATTCGATAAAAAAAAATGTTCAACAATGTCTTCCATTTCCATTGAAAAACTAATTAAATTGCGTCTTCCAAATATTAGTATATATAGACTAGGTTGAAGTTAATTTCATTGCTTAATGCTCAATTTAAGCTTAATTATTGAGTTTAGATTGTTGATTTTTTTAAAGGAATATGGTCTAAATCTGTTCGGATTACAATAGTTAGTATTCGATCTCGAAAGAATACCCCAAAATAAAAACGAATTTCCAACCTAATAAATCAGGATCCAAGAGGGTGACACCTTTTCCATTTAGATGTATTATTTTTATATTTGCATTAAAAAAAATGTTTATTCAGCGTACTATGAACAAATTTAATTCGAGTCTATCACATTAAACAGAATTAAATATTAAAAAATTTAATTAAACCACAAGAAACAACAAAAGCAGAGAAGTGTTTATCTTAACATAAACAGGTTGCTTTGCAGGTCAACAGAATTGGTCAGACCATACTATTCGTAATCTTTGTATCGACTGCTAAATCATTTATTTAATCATTTTTTATTCTTTATAGGATTCTGATTCGACGAGTCATGCCTACTAGTAGTTTAGGAGTCATGATTCACCAACTATAGGTGTGATTGGTTTCATATGCATAAAAGATCTACTGCCATATCTCGAATTAGAAAGGAAAAAATCGATTTGAAATGTTGAAGCAAAGTGTTTTTAAGAGATAGATTCACATTTGAAACGCCAAAAAAAATCCTAAAACCTAAAAAATCTAAGTTGGATTTGAGAATTACTGACTAAATTTAACAATTAATTACCTGAATTGGTCGGATCTGAGCTCATATAGGCTTCTCCTGGCCACCTATGCGTACCCTTGCTTCACAAAGAGATGAGGGAGAGGCGGAAAGTAATTGGGAGAGGATGAGAAGAAAGATGGAGTGCCATCGAATTTGTGAAGAAGAAGAGAAGATGTGAGAAAAAGAGAAGAGAGATCAGAGGAGGAGCGGAGACAGACGATCAGGAAGGAAAGAAAAGATCGTGTTTTTTTTTAACAGAATGGCGCACTCTTGAAAGGAAATAGAATGAGAATGAACTTCAATTCCTGTCGACCAAACATAGGAATCAGCATTACCAAAGAATTCATATTTCATTCCCACCCTTAATCTCAAATACCAAACACAATGTAAGTCTACCGGCAATAATCAATATTTGAAAACTTAAAAAGCTTTCCACGAAGGATAAAAATTTTGTTTTGATACATTATTTTTATCACCTAAGAAATAGAAATATTTTGATGTATTTTAAAAATGTTCCGATCTGTTCTAGAAATAGAATTAAAAAAAAATAAAAAATTTAAAAATTAATTTTTCAAAACATTACAAAGAAGGAGAAGTTTGAGAGACTTTGCGAACCTTTTAAATGATCCATTTATTTATTTTTAAATAGTCCAATAGCCAACATTGATCAAAATAATATCTATAATCTATAATATAAAACATAGCGGTTTCAACAAGCTCATCCTACGATCTCAAATTTATTTATCCAACAATAAAAAAATTATTATTTTTTCCTTAATATTTTCCCCCCTAACTAGTCAACAATTGCAGCTGATCTTGAAACACATTTTATAATTTCAAATTTATTCATTCAACGATCAAGAAATTAACTTTTTTTCCTTAATATTTTCGCTCCAACCGATCAACAACTACGACTAATCTTATAATACAGGATTTTCTCTAACATAATTATTAAATGAGTCACATTTGCCATTAATATCATATGTGTAGTGTAACATTTTAAATTTGTGTAAGACACAATGACAATATTTTGATTAAAAAAACTCATCAATTTAACAGATAAGAAAAGGACATTGCTTAAGACATATATATTGAATATAATTAATTTTATTTTTATTTATTTAATTAATTATTTCAAATTAACATGTCTTACACATATCTTGAATCAAAAGTTCGAGACTAATTTTTTTTATCTCTTAAGAAACCCAACACTAATATGTTCTTATAAATAAATAATTTTGTAATAACTTGTACTAATCAAAAAAAATATTTTACAAATGATATTTGCAGATCTTTTTTTGATAGAAAATATTTTTGCAATATACTTTTTGATAAATTAAATTTTTTGTTTATATTAGATTTGACTCAATTTTGACTACATGTATATAAACTAATATTCAATTTTGATTACATTTATATAAATTAATGTTTTTTTAAGTCAATTCTATCATATTTGGTGGATTGATTTATAATATCTATAATATAAAATAGGGTGGCTTCAACAAGCTCATTTTACGATTTTAAATAAATTCATTCAACGGTCACCAACATCTCTCTCAAAACCATTCATATTGAGTCTTACCTTCCTCTTTTCACTCTTCACTCTCTCTTTGTGACAGTGGCGAAGGGAGGAGGGGCCTGGGGCTACCCTAAAAATAATATTTTTTTTTAGTTATATATGTTTTATATATTTTTTTGGATTAATTGGGCCCACTATATTGATTTATGAAAAACAAAATTAATTGGGTCAAATAAGTTAGGTGTTAGAACAAAAAAACAAAAACAAAAAGTCCATACCAAATCTCTTAAAAAATTATAGAATATATAGCCAAAAATTAGTAAAATATGAAATTTGTAAGAAAATTAAAAATTATAGAATATTGCTTTTATTTGTGTCAAATAAATTATATAATTAATCATTGATGTATAAATGTTGTCTTATTAAATTTTTTCAAATAGACCCGTTTTTTGTTTAATGAATTTATAAGTATTAAATCCGATACAAAAAAATATAAATATATTTTTATCTATTATACTTAAAGTGTGTTCACCTTAAATCATATTTTTGGCTCCGTCATTGCTCTCAGGGATCTTCACGCCCCATTTTTTCAAATTAATCCGTTAATTTACGTTGTACCGTGTCTTTCAGCACGAGTTACCCCTAGTAACATATAAAAATGGTTAAGTGTCAACTGTAAAACAACACATGGCTCTGTTTCTTCAGGCAGCTGGTTGAAAATGAGAGATTGAAGTAAATAACTTGTATGCTTTATTAAAGTGATAATTAGAAATTTAAAGATTAAAGTGAGACGGGGTACATGCTTCAATAGTTCAATCACTCAAAGTATTTTGCTTTCTTTTTAATATTTAAGCTCAATTATCAAAAATTGAGAGCAACGAAATTTGGGCCCAGCCTTGTTGAAAATTGGGCTTCTCCTTTACGTGGTATCAAAGGATTTGTTTCTTACGATCCAACGATTAGAGTGCGATCTTAATTTTTTTACAATTTGATAAAAGATCGAGAAAATTAAAGGATAAATATCATAATTGATACATAAATCCAAATCACCCCAGAAAATCTGGTACATTCATGAACTGCTTCTAATGTAAACATCACATTATTTGTTCAATCTTCATTACAAGATGTGAGCCAGAAACTATAAACGAAATACAACACCATATAGCAACATAATTGCTTGTAAAAAAACACACTTGATTGACCGGGAATGGATGCCCCTAAAATCTAAGAGAATCCCACGGCCGAAAACCTTTTACACACATACAATTTATTTAAGGAGAAACATGGAATGTTGGGTGTATAGAAACAAACACCCTTTTGTCCATATATTTATTTGTTTCGGCATCATAATGTAGAAGAGAAATTGAAACTCACCTGAACTCCCGTTTACTTTTAGTTTGTAGAGCGAGGAAAAACTTGGAAGTAGGTTTGGGTGAAGCTTAAGATAATAAGAAACATTGCGGCAAAAAAGGCCACAGTAGTCCACGGAGAACTGAAATGATCATGCAGGACTTGAGCCATCCAAGTTTTTGCCTTGCTAGTGAAGTGCTCTTCAATTCGATTACAAACGTCATCAAGGATAAAAACATTGGCATCTATGACAGCCAAAGCCATAGTGTTGAAGAATTTTGCAACTCCCTCATTGGAAAAAATGGTGTTAGAAATTATGTTATGAGATCGCAGCTCAATAACGTCGTCGGCTCCACTAATGAGTAAATTCATGAAATAAATATAACTGCTAACCTCAAGTTCAGTATATGTGTTAGGAGCCATTTCATATGCAATCATGTTCAAGAAGAGGGACTTGGAGGCCAAGTTAGATACAATTGGAGGAAGTGTCAACTGTCCATAGCCAAAGGATGAAGTGAAGCTGACGTCTGTTAGACAAAATGTACCGCTAGACTTGAAATGTATTCCTTTTGCTTTAAGTTCTGTTGCTGAACCGAAGGAGTGACGAAGGGCCTTATGAGGAGCATTTCGGTCTTTCGCATAATCCTTCTTGTGGGGAATAAATTTTTCTCGCACTAGTCCTAGGAGGTGAAGGGGCTGCTCATCTTGCCGTCCCTGTCCCTTACTGGTTGTTTCAAGACCATACCATTTTTCAAAAAAACTGTGGATCATATTTTCTCCTTCATCTTCTTTGTAGCGAATGCTCATTAAGGCCCGGATAACTTGGAATGGAAGTTGGTTCTCCAGCAAGATCAAGTCCGAGACTAACATAGATACTCTTCCTTGCCCCAAGATGCGAAACATATATAGACCCTCTGCTTTTTGATTTAATACAACGTCGATAAAACGCAGTATAAAACAACCATCGAGGAACATCATATGGGCAAATGTGTTATCATCATAGTTATCTGTTGAGCCATCAAGGTAGTAGCCCTTAGCTTCCCCAACCAACTCTAAGAATTTGTTATAGAACTCTTTGGGATCACGGCCACTTTCTTTAAAGAAGTGGAATGCGAATGTAGCCTTCAACTTCTCCGCATCTTCGAGCTCAGGCTTGCCACGGTGAAAGGGGCCAATCGAAACAACTCTTGGATCAAAACATCCTTCAAGCTCCTTGTTATTTCTTAGTTCTTGTATAACCTTCTGTAACTTTTTCTGTTCGGACGGAATGGCTTCGCTCTTACGGTAACCGTCTTCCAGTACCGACATTACCCACTCATCAGCACCGTTGATTTCAGCCTGTACCTCAAGTACCGTTGCAGGAAGGATCACATCACTGTTTCCTCCTGATTGAATGATCCATTGACCAACCCTGCCCTGATTCCAGCCTGACTCAATTTCTGGCATTGTTCGACACAGGTAGAGTAGACAACTAAGTGAAGGTAAATGTTCACTACTACACAGTCTGGATTTTTTCCATTTACATAACCATCTGACAAACTTTAGTGCAGATCAAGATGACTTGTTCCAGAAGGGTGTTGGGCATCCATCTTTTTCTCCATGGTAAGTTTGGTATATTCATATTTAATTCTTACTTTCAGAAAGCAAAGAAATTGATCCTTTTCCACATTCCATTTCTATGTCCTGTAATACACAGATTCTGTGACATGCATGTCACGTTGTTCCTTCACGGACTCCAAGTCCGTTGGATTGTCTTTTATATCATAACTTAGATTTATCTATGTCTTAATAGAAGTTGTAAGATTACTGACTAATGTCTGTGCATAAAGGCACTGTATGACCAAAAAAAATGGCAACCCAAAGAAAACGAGCATCAAGCAAGAGGAAAGTGTCATACATAATGCTTTTAAGTAACCGAATAAGTTTATGTGGCAATGAATTCAAAATTAATTGGACAAAATTTCTTAAAAAATAGGACCCATAAAAAATTTCAACATGTATACAAAAGGAAGGGAGTACTTGCAATTATCAAAAGGTTTAGAGCCTAATACAAATCAATCCAAATCTTGCCACTCTAAATTGTAACATGTCAAAAAGATATATTAAGCCGATTTGCAATGTCACTTTTATAGCTTAGTTTGCAAATAGTACACAACTAAGCATTGTGTAAAGAAGAAATTAAACATTATAAATAGTACATAATCAGCAAAACAATGCCTCGGCAAAACATAACATCACAAACATATTGACATTAGGTTTTGGTTCATATGGTTCAAAGAACACATCAATTTATATAGACGCGTGTGACTAAAAAAAATGGCATAAAAGAGTTCACACTAAACTCGCATAAAAGTGTGCAGCATAAAACACGTAACAAAATATGTCTTAATGGAAGTTGTAAGATTATGTTTTTACGTGTTCAATTACAAAAGTAATTTTTCGTCACCATAATTTTTATTTTTCACCAATCAAAACAAGATACAGGTAAAGATTTTATATTTTATTATTTTAACCATTTACGGCTGCAAACAAAGCATGACATGTGTAACGATTTTAAAGGTTTTTATTAATACTTCCTATTTTTCAATTAAAGCATGACATGTGTAAAATATTCTATATTTTATTATATTATTTTACTTAATTATTTTCAAGATCAATAATCTCAAATAAATTAATACAAATTTATGGCTGTGATTCATTTTTCGGTATGGTACCCGCATTTTTTGTGGCTAAGCATTCTAATCCTAGTCTGACAGAAGCTCATTGGTAACTTGCATGAGTACTAATGTATACGGATCTTACTTTCTTATGTAAGAACATATACAAAAGGTATATGAATATGGATTAAGCTTTTTTTATTCAAATGCATAACGAAAAAGTGAACTTCAAAGTAAAGTGTGACTCTTACGCACAAGATCTATACAACATGGCTTGGTGAAGTGTTTGGAAAAAAGTATAAGCTTTAGATTTTCATTGTCCAATAAGTTTTGAAATTTTAAATCTCTAATCCAACACGGACATTATTGTACAATGCACATTCAAGGCATTGCAGTTCGGCCATGGTTAGGCTTCTTTCTCTCCTTCTCACATACATACTGTTGATGATTAAAGCAAGGGACTGAATTGGATACTATACTGAAATTAACCACCAAATAAGGGTTAATTTACACAACCAACAAAATAAATTTATGCCAAAAAAATTAAGTTAGAATCGAAGGTAACCCCCTTTTTTAAAGGGTCTTAAACGATGCCATTATTTTGTTACCTCAACAGATTGAGGTCACAATAATTGTGTTACTATCTGATAATCGTGTTTGGTGATTAACACAGAATTAATATCAACCAGATAAAACCCTAAAATTTTTGAACTTTGGGAGGATCCTGGGGAGGTAATCTCAATTTCGACAAAGATTGGAAAAATTGGATTCTTTCGTACTTAAATTTGGGAGAGAATTAGTTGTGAAAATTTGCTAAGATTCAATTGTAATTTTTTATCAGATGCCAGCACAAAAGCAATGGATAAAACCAAATTTTGTTTTGGTACTAGCTTCTCATACTTGAACTCAATCTAAAAAATGACCAAATATCCCTTTGTATTCTCAAGGACTTAGAATTGAATTGTTGGACAGAATTTTTCAGTAGCCCATTCACCCCCTCCGGTACTCCTCTAAGTGGTATGAAAGTGAATTTGTTTCTTCCCGTGCAACAATAGATCGGAGTGTGATCTTGATCTTTATAGTGTGCCTTTGCAATGTTACTTGGTTCAACTCTATTTGTAACCTTTTTTCGTATGATGCTCTCTGATGAAAAATCGAGAAAAGTAAAACAAAAAACCAAAAGAAGAAAAAACTCCACGCTCGAGTCCTCCAGATTTAGAAGTCTTTTGAAAATTAAGACTTATTTTGGTCTACAATTGACGCATGCTACAAGAAAAAAAAAAATTACGGTGGTAAAGTGCTGTCATAAAAAATTTATTTACCGTCACAAATATTTTTTGTGACAGCATTGTGACGGCATTTCCTCGCCATAGTAAGTGTGGTTTCAAAAGATTTTTATGGCAGAAACAGTCTGTCTCAAATAGTATTTACAGCAGTAAGACTCTGTCATAAATAAATTGTCACAAAAAATCCGACACTTTTACTTTTATCACGGCAACAAAAGTGCTGTCTCAAATACCATATTTGGATGTCATAAAAAATAGAAGATATATTTATAACGGCAATGATGCCGTCACAAAAAAAAAATTATTTAATTATTATGGACCGTTGGTAACCAATATTATATATCCTATGCATAAGGCTTGAACCCTTAACTTTTTTTTTTGGGGGGGGGGGGGAGAGGAAGAGGGCTTGAACCCTTGACCTCAGGAAGACAAAGCTTTTGCAATGTAAGGAGTACCATTAGACTAAAGACTCATTGGTATTCATATAACTATCTAATTTAATATATAAATAAACACAAAAGTAAATATAATCAACATTTTCAAAAGTATAGCAATATTTTCATATCCAAAAAAAAATAATCTCATGAGTTAAACAAGAAATTAATGCAAAAAGTTGAACATCCTTCGCGAACCATCTACTCTCTCAGTGACATCTGAAAAAAATATAAAATTATATATACTGAAATAATATTTATATACATATATACAATAAAGAACTAAAAGAAGTTAGAATATACATCAACAGAGAGCTACACAATATTTCTCTGAACGGCTTGTCCAATTATGTAAATGGTATATATAAATGAGTTATATCGTATACATTTCTTCTAATTAGTTTTATCAATACCTGATTCGTTTATAGTCGTATCGTGACAGATCCACTCGTTTACTAAATATGTGGTTTAAGGAAAACTCAAACTCATTAATTTTATATCGTATTAACGGGTCGTGTCATATTTTGACACCCCTAGTTTTGATATAAAAACTTGACTTTGTATAGTTTAATTTTTTTTCCTTTGAACTAAAAATTGTCTTTTAATGTTAAACTACGTAATTTTATGAAATATTACTTGTAATATGAAAAATAGTTGTGGCCAATACAAATTTTTTTAGAGTTTTTCTTCTTTAAACTATAAATTGTTTTTTAATGTAAAACAACATTTTAATGTTTTATGAAATATTATATACAACGAAAAAAATAGTTGCCATACAAAATTCTTTTGAATTTATAAAATATTATATGAGGTAGCAAAAACAGCTGTCTCAAATATAAAAAAAAAATTGAGTTTATAACATTATTTACAGCAGAAAAAATATATGCCACAAATATTAACACAAACACGCTTTTTGTGACGTCAAACACAGCTACCACAAAAAATAGTCTCAAATACGTCTTTTGTGACAGTAAATACAGCCGCCGTAAAAAATTTATCACAAAAAATCTTTATTCTTGTAGTGGCTAAATCACTACTTTGTAATATCTTTAACAACCTTGTAGACTATACTTCTTAAGTCCAGGAAATATGTTGTTCTTACAAAGAAAACCATGCCTACAGTATTTGATGATCTTAGTTAACACCCTATCACTCCACCATACGTATATATATGTGGGGAGAACGAATTTTAGGAGGCTAGCCTAAATAACATTTAATGTTTTCCCTACTAGTATTCCAGGATAATTTTGTTAAAAAACGTAATCCTAGAACCCAAATAGTCGATAGGCATTTGGTACTAGAAGCATGGGTACAAAGTGTGAGGATCCAAAGCCTGTTGTCAGCATGGACACACAAAGTATTCGCTCCAAATCCAGATCACCAAAGAAAATCCCAGGGCCGGCTCATACATGAAGCCACTTAGGCAATTGCTTAGGGGCCCATTTGAGATAAGGGCCATTTTTTTAAATAAATAATTATAAATGTAAAAACATTTTCTTTTGGATTTTATTTTGTTTGAGTTTTATCCTTTTATTTAATTATAGAGTAAAAAGTCTCATCCTTTAAAATATCTAAGATTACTCGTATTTTAGATAGTATTTTATATATTTTTTATTTGACAAATTAAGCAATTCATCTCGATGATATAAAAAGTTGATTATACACAATCAAATCAATCAAGTATGTATTGTAAAGTAATTAATGAAACAATCTATAAAGAGAGGCAAATATTGGGTGGTTGGGTCTAGGTGACCTAACCACTGAAGGCGACAACGATGGTCAGAAAACTCTATTAATAAGAGAGTATAAGGTAGTAGAGGAGAGAGAAAGAGTTAGAGCACGCTCAAGCTGAGGTGTGTGTGATATGCCCCCATGTGTATAGGAGTTTACAATTTATAGACATAGAGTCCTAGCTGAGACGGTGACATGAAGGTCAAACTATTAATTAATCGGAGAGGATAACTACAATTGAAGATATACACTATCTTTAAGTAATGACTATTCCGATAATTGCTCTTTTACGTGCATTGACTTTTTCTAAACTCTTGGTCTTTGAATTAGACAGATGT